TAAGGATGGAACGTTCGCTTCTGCATAGAGGCTTTCGACAGGGGAAGAGCGAAAAGCCCCAAAGGGCATAAACGTAATCCTGGTGATGAATGGGGTTTAAAGGGCTAGAGAGAGTAGCAGGAGATGCCGCTGAATAGATCTGGTCACCATAATCAAGTTTCGATAAAATAAGGGTGGAATGTAGGTGAAGGAGGGTTCGACGATCAGCCCCCCACGAAAGATGAGCAAGGGTTTTAAGAAGGTTCAGCCGGCTGTGACAAGTTGCCTTCAGAGAGGTAATGTGAGGTTTCCAGATAACCTACGATCAAAGAGGAGGCCCAGAAACTTGACTGTATCACGTTCAGGGATACGTGAGCCATAGAGGTACAAAGGGATGATCAGAGATGACAGAGCGTCTAGTGAAAGGGGATTTGGTGGGTTTTAGTGCGGGAAAAATTTTAAAAACCCATGTGTGGGGGCCCCAAATTTGGGGAAACACGGTCGACTTGCATGCTGGAGAGAAACTGAAAGGGAGGTGACAGTCAGCGCCTGCACAGGCAATAGCGAAGTCATCAACATAGAGTGATGACCAAATATTTGATGGAAGACTAGAGGCCAAATCATTAATAGCAAGGAGAAAAAGTGTTGTGCTCAGAACACATCCCTGGGGACACCTTCAGCTTGGACAAAGTCCGGGGAAGTACATTATTAACCAGAACACGGAAATCCCTGTCAGTTAAAAAGTTCTTAGGAAGGATGGTAGATTGCCTCGAAGGCTAAGGAGTGGGCTTGGGCTAAAATATTATACCTCCAAGTTGTGTCATATGCCTTCTCAAGGTCAAAAAATATGGCAATAACTGAGTGGTTATTCGCAAAGGCATTACGAACATACGTATCCAAGCGCATTTAAGGGGTCTATGGTAGAACGCCCCCTTACGAAAGCCATATTGACAGGGGAGAGACTGTTGTGTGTCTCTAAATACCACACTAAACGTCTATTTACTAGACGTTCCATTACTTTGCAAACTCCCACTGGTAAGAGCAATGGGACGATAGTGGGGGGTTTCATGTCCCGTTTGTGCCTGGTTTGCGGAAAGGGAGAAAAATGGCGGATTTCCACAGCTGTGGAAGAACTCCTTGTGACCAAATAAGATTGTAAAGGCGTAATAGGACTGCAAGGGCTGACTGATGTAAATTGTTTAGCATACGAATATGAATGTCGTCGGGCCCAGCTGCCGATGATCGACAAGCTGAGAGTGTTGCCTCCAGTTTTTTGAAGTGTAAAAGGCACATTATACTGTTCTTCTCTGAGAGAAGAAAAAGTCCAAGGGTGCTAACTCTCTGGCAGACTTTGAGGAAGAAATGAGGGGCATAGATGGAGTCCCTGAGAAATACGGACAAAATGATTGCCAATTTTTATTGGCAACATCTAGTGGGTTTGCTATATCAACACCGGCAACCCGCAGAACAGGAGGCCGGGTCAGGAGAATATTTACCACTCAGTTTTCGTACTTTTTTCCAGACTGCACTCATAGAGGAAGCAGAGGTGATGGTGGAGACTTTAAACTCGCCACAAGTGCGTTTAGCGTCACGGATGACACGGCGAGCGATCCCCACGCTTCTGTTTAAAATCAAGGGGTCGCTCTGTGGTTCTATTGTACCGGTACCTGCCCCATGCAGCGCGCTTCAAACGTACTGCACGAGCACAAGCAGGAGACTACCAAGGCACGCATTTCTGAGAATGCCTGCCCGAAGTTTGGGGTATAGAATGAGAAGCTGCGGTGAAAACGGGGACGAGAAGAGGTGTAAAAGCTCATCGATGGAGGACGAAGAAGGAACCTCTTTAAAAACAGTAGGTGTGAGTAAAGGTTCCAATTTGCCCGATTAAATTGCCAGCGTGGGGTGCGAAGAGTGGCGAATATAAGGGGAAGTAAGAATGATTGGGAAATGATCACTGTCATGGGAAGACCGGAGAACAGACCAAGTTTAAAGTCTAATGCGGGGGAGGAAGAGCAAACTGAGAGATCGATGCAAGAGAGAGTATGAGTCCGAGGATCAAAATGGGTGTGAGTACCTGTATTTAAAACATGGAGGGGTGTGGGGCAAAAAAAGCCTCTAACTGAATTCCACGGGAATCACAGTGAGACCCTCCCAGGGAAATGGTGGGCATTAAAATCACCAAGTAACAGAATCGGTGGCGGTAATGACGAAACAAGGAAGGCAAAATCCCGGGAAAAGATAATGCCCGAGAAGGAGAGAGATATAAAGAACAGAGCGTATACCACCTATGTAAGTGGATACGGGCTGCTGTGTAATGCAGCGAAGTATGAATAAATAGCTGATGGTACGGAATATCAGTGCGGAGAAGAAGGGCACTTTCATTAAAGGTCCCATTTAGGAAAAGGATCTGAAGAATACAATTTAAAATTTTAGCCTGAGATGTGAGAAATAACAGCAGAGTGTAATTTTGGTTCCTGTAAGCAAACACCAACAGGGGCAAACTGGGAGAGTAACATCTGAAGCTCACCCCGATTACCCTGAGGCCGCGTATATTCACTGTAAAAAGGCCATGATTGGCAATGATAAAGATACTTGAAATCCGCAGGTAAGGGGTTTCCCACGGATAGAAGGGTTAAAAGTCCACATGCGGAGGGAGTGGAAAATGTTCAAGCAGCGAAGGAACGGTGCGCTGTGAAGAAAGGAGTTGCGCAGATGGAGCAGAGGAGAGAGAAAGAGCGGAAGGTGGATCAGTGTCCATTGATGGTTTGGTCTCTGCAATATATTCAGAGATTGCTTCAAGTGTTTCGGAATTCCAGAGATGTCGTATGGGAGACAATATTGGGAATGGTAAGGGGGAGGATGGTAAAAAATTGGAACTGTATTGGACTGTACCCCAAATAGGGGGGGGCGAAAGGGGGGAGGGAACTGGAGAAGCGTGGCAGGGGACAGAAGAGACAGGAACCTGGGGGGTGGCAGAAGAGGAAGAAACTTGGGGGGGAACAGGGGAGGAAGGTACATTACGAGGAGGAGGGGGAACCTCTGCACTTGTAACTGAGCCAGTGAGAGGGGGAAGAACTAGGGACAGAGAACAGGGAGGGTAAAATGAGGAGGTGGAAGATGGGTAGGAGGTGTTACCGGACCTTTTTTGACTTTGAGAAGTAGAGGGACGATTGGGAAGAGGTGTCGTACGAGGTCCCCGTCGATACTGAGGCTTGTAAGAGAGAACTCGAAGAAGCGAGATTAGACTGAGGCCCTTGAAGTAGGGACGTCTGAGCCGAGGACAGCAAAAGGATTAGATACAGGAGTGATTATGGGGGAGGTAACCACAGAGGTGGGTGTAGAAGATGGGATACCAGAAGTGGGGGACGTTTTGAAACACGGGAATAAAAAACAGTGGGAGTCTCCCTTGGAGGCGGAGATGAGAAACTGCCATGGCATAAGGGAGACCTTCTGTCTCTTTGAGGTAACGGATTTCCCGCTCGTTTTAAATAGACCTGACAACGGCGAGAGTACGAAGGGTGAGCCTCATGACAGTTTAAGGCAAGAGGGGGATCGATTGCAAGACGTATTAGAATGGTCAAACGGCACCACAGACTGGGCATTCGGCGATAGATCTGCAATATTTCGCTGGATGGCCAAATCGCCAGCAATTTCTACACTGTTTTTGGTTTTAGGGATCACCTTCGAACTTGTAACCGATGTCCTGCTATATAAACGGAGGATGGGAGTTCTCGGCTGTCAAAAGTTAAACGAGCCCATTGCTAGGGGATCGTCTCCGCCCACGGGCAGGAAGAACGTAAGTGGTCTACCTTGAGGATTGGGAGATCTTGGAGTTCCAGCTGTTTAGAATGTCGGTGCCACATGTCTGGAAATTTTTGTTGAAATATGGTATGGGGCAGAATGACGGTACCACTACAAGAATTGAGGGAATGATGTTTTTCAAGGTGACAGGAACAGTATCTATATGGGAAAGACGAGAGAGCTCACGAGCCTGGTAGCATCTGTACGGTAATGATGCCGTACCGCTCTTAAGAGCATGAAAAGAAATATCTTTACCAAAATGGCGTAGGAGTTTCCTTGCCAATACTATGGTCAGAAAGATAGGCAGTTTGAGGAAGTTGGTCGTAAAGTGAAGAATTTTTGTCCACTGTTCAGTCTGAAAAATGAGCGTGGAAAGGTAGTGAAGGACGTGTCGATCGTTTCTGAGAAGAACGAGAAGGTGAAGGGGGAGGGAAATATAAACAGCAGGTAATTTTTCGTTGACGTTTAGGCGTGGGACCAGAGTTGGTCCGACGTTTGGGAAAGGGTCGGCGATTTGAAAATTGCCGCACCGTAGAGGGAGAGGTCGGAAGCAAAAGTCAGAGGAGAGCGAAGGTCTGATAAACAAAGGAGTCAGGGCGAGGCCTCAGTAAACCCGAAGCGGGTGAAAACAGCACCGGCAATAGGTAAGCAGGGGATGAGGAATGTCTGAAGAGTGGGGCCAAAGACGAGGCGGGGTCAGAACAGGGTGCCCGGGATCAAGAAGGGGCCCGGGGGGTACCAGTTCATGGACTAGGGCTGCCATGGTTTTGGTATTCTTTCTTTTTGTTTTAAGAAAAAAAAAGAAAGAAGAAAAGAAAATAAAAATAAAAAAAAGAAAAAAAAAGGGGGGACCGGGGAGGGATAGTTCCTAGGAGGAATGAAAGGGCCAGAAATCTCCCTCCGCCCAGAGGACTCGACCCCCGCTAGTAGCGCAGATGCAGCATGGAACCCGTGCCATACCCTACCCTTCATGCCAGTAAACCAGCAATCTGGGATAGCAACCTCACATCTGCCGAGCTACCTCGGTGGACAAAAGAGAGGGCGGCCGGATATCCGCCACAAAGCATACCTCCTTCAGCCACCACCCCCGGGAAACCGAAAGGGGGGCTTCCAGAGCTACACCCGTCGCCCAAAAGACACCCAAAGCTACTCCGGGATACCGGAGAGGGATCGGGACTCCCTAGGCAATCCAGATTCCACGGCAAACTACCCACCGCCAAGAAACCTCAACGGAATGGGATGGACCCCGGTGTCCTTTCCCCTACCTAGGAACTAGCGCGCCTGCGGGAGAAATCACGAAGGCTAAAAAGAGGAAGGGCAAAAGGGAGGGGTGAGGAGGAATGGAAAAAGGGGAGGATGGGGAGGATGGGATAGGGGAGGGGAGAATGGGGGGTAATTAGGTTCGGTCTGAGGAAGAAGACCGACAGGGCTAATTCCTCAGACCAAGAGCCTCTTCACCACGCCAAGGAGCCCCCCTTGAAGAGGACAATAACACTAGCTCTGTTTGGTTTGAGGGTACCCACGATCTCATCGTCCATCTTCCACATCTTTTTAATATCTATCTCCTCGCCTTTCGGTGAATTGCAATAGTACGGCTGCTTAAACCGAGTAATTTGGCGAGGACCGACGTACTACGGTGTTTGATAAACTCTTTGAGCCCCTTCTGTATTGTCTTTTGTCATGGATCTAGCAATGCTCTTAGTAAGCCATGGGCAACTTACTTACTCTTTTGTTAGTCATCTGTTTAGTTTTTATGGGATAAAACATTTGTTATATACTCTATGGATTTTGTTTACAATATAGTGTATTGTTAATCAAGTCAGACACAGGTTGGTCATCTGTTTGTTAGGCCAAACTTGATGTTAAAATCTCCTGCTATTGGTTGGTGCTTATTCAATTGTGTACCTGTAATCAGTGTTCTTAGTTTAGCACTAACAGCTGATATATTAGTATGAGACATCCCATATATGACCTCAACAACTATAGGATTTTTTTTTTTACAGACAAATTTGCAAATATATATTATTCACCATATTCATCACTGATAGATATAGTGTTGCTACATGATAGTGCAAATGTCTATTGTGTCTTAAGCCACATTTCAGTAAGAAGACAGGAGGTTTTCTTTAATGAATCTACAAGTGCCAAGTCATCATAATAGTGTTTGCTTAGGGATGTAATAAATACATTACATGCACACAAATTAATTAAACAAAATAATATAAACTTATGTTATACTAGTCACCACATAGCACCTATTACTGAAGCAAACATATCCCAAAAAGATGCCTAACACACGGATAAATGTTTCCTGTAAGGTGTCAGCTCACAAGAAAAGGTTACTGCATGTGCAACTTGCTATGCAAGACCCCCCGTACAACCAGTTTCAGCAAGACTCGAGTGTTTCCAGAGTCGCGTACAACTTCGTCGAGGCTGCAAAACTCGTGTACTTCAATTTCCGTAAAGACCGTCGGGTACAATTTCATAAAGGCTGTAGCACCAAATTGTCTCAACTTTTCTCACCAGCTCTTGTCCTGGAACAAGTCGAGAGGTCAAATCCAGTGACTTCCGACACGAGTATTCAATAGTCGTTGACGCGACACTCGTACGTGTACGATGCAACTTCAACGTACGACCTTAATTCATTCCGGAAGGCTCTTCGAGTGCTGCTCCATTTGATTATCTGACAAGGATGTTACCCACACCACTCCACTAACACCCAGGATGTGACCCACGTCAGTTCCTCGAGGAACAATCCTCTCTGACTCGACAGATATTCTCTAGAGTTTGTCACAACAGTCATCTTTGACTAGCCCGCGCGAGACACTGCCGGACGCGTTTCTGACGTCGTCTCTACCTCCGCATCCGCTGCTCCGTGGGTAGATTGGAAAATTTAGGGAATGCCCACAACCAGGGTAGGGTTACTCGGGGCAAGAAAGGTTAGCCAACCTAGATAGCCCAGGTTGCTAAGTAAGACAGACACATATGCAACAGTTAGATACTATCTTTATTCCAAAATCTTTGGCCTCTGTAGTTTTGAGGGGGTCACTCCCTCAGCCTGGAGAAAAGTATTTATTCCATAGTATGAATTATCTTAGTATATAAACCACTGCCAGCAACTGCTATCTGGCTATTTTAATCTCCCTCATGTAAAATGCCACAACACAATGTTATACCTGAAATATCTCAGGGAAAACCACCCTGGCTCAACAGGCACAAACTGAAGCTTTGTGAAAAGTGCACAATGAACCAACAGATAAACAATCCCACCAGAAATGGATTTGATATTCACAAACAAAAAACTAATCAAAGACAATTACAATAACAATATACTCTGAGCACAACAAACAAGTATTAACTCAGGGTGTGGGAACTGCAATATCTTGAGCAAGTTCAATTTCAACAACCACAGAAATGACTGGAAAAAAATAAACCAAGAGCTATCAGACACGAATGCACTAAATCCTCACCAGTGCCCGGACAAGCTCAATACTAGGTCTGTATTAAACACGTACCGTTGAGGAAACCCAGATCAGACACAGCGTACGAGATGGTACAATAGAAAACAACTTGGGATATCACACCCGAGTACAAAAACAACAAAAGGCCATATTGCGAGACGCCCAAAATATTTCTACTAGTATGCAAAATCAAACAATTGCCTATAGAATTCGACCGTAATCGACGAGACTCGTATACGGACGATGAACATAAAATGAGTGAAATTCTAAGAGAACAATATCAGTTGCTGTTCAGCAACCCACTAAATGACAGCAAGAAACATTTTTCACTCCATCACAAGGCTGCACACACCAACTGATATTAGTACAAATCCCATAGATTAAAAAAAAATAAATTTGCCCACTCAGCACCTGGACAAAATTCAGGGAATCCTCTATTTATAAACAAGTGCAAGGTACCACTAGCACGAGCCCTCGGTATTCTTTGGAGAAAGAGCCTACATCTAGGTGAAATACCACAGACCTTAAAGAGTGCAGACAGCTCCTTCGCATAGGGCAAGTAATACATCACTAGCTAAATATTACATCAAAAAAATATTCAAAAAAAGTGATGAGACAGCAGATTACAAATTTCTTGGACCGGCATAACCCACACCACTGGTGTTTGAGCAGGACAATCATACCTGTCACAGCTCCTGAACCACTATGACAGAATTACAAACATGTTACAAGATGACCAAAGTGCAAATGTGATATGCACAGATTTTGCAAAAGTGTTTGTTTCACAAATGTCATCATGGAGTAATAGTGCGCAAAAAAGAGGGCCACAGGCACTACAAGGAAGGTAAGAAGGTGGATTTTCAAGTTCCTAACACACAACACAAAAAATAGTAGTAAACAGCATCAACAAGGTAAAAAACTCAATTCCCCAAATTACTGTTCTGGTACCTCTGCTATTTCTCATCTTCATAGCATACATAAAAACACCCGGCATAGTTTTGTTTCATTTGCAAATGACACTAAAATAAGAATGATAGTCACTGAAAAATTACAGTGAAAAACAACAATACAGTGGAACCTCAAAAATCAAACTGCTCCCAACACAACCAATTATGTAAGCATATTTTTGTAAGTGCTTTTATAAGCGTATTTTTGAGGGTCTGAAATGGACTAATCTAATTTACATTATTCCTGATGGGAATAAATTCATTCGGTAAAGGCACTCGAACAGCCTTCTGGACTGAAGAAAGTTCGATATTTGAGGTTCCACTGCATAACATTCAATGGTGGTAAGTTCCTGCTGCTTAGGTATAGAAAGAACAAAAAACTCAGGAGGATCACCAAATAGAACAAAAACAACAGGTAAAAGACTTGGAAATAATTAAGTTAGTTACCTTACTAACAATAACAACATACCTGCAGAGGTTTTAAAGGGTCAACGCCCCCTAAGGCCCAGTCTCAGACCGGGCTGTTACTGCTGGCCGCAGTAGATAACAACAGCCCGGAGGAAGAGGAGAAGGATGATGGTGTGGGTATTGAGACCTTCCAAAACAAGGGAAATAATAACAATGGTGACACTTCAAATCACTAGTGTTCAGTGCTGACGGCCCCGTTCAAAGCACGAGAAATATCCGGCCTTGAACAAATAGTTTATAGCCCACGTAGAGCCAGTAAAACATTTAAGGCAACACTGTAGTATCAACAAGACTATTCAACCTCTTACCACTGCCAGAACAAGTGTACAAGTCTTCAACACAAAATTGGACAAGTATCTTCACCAGGTCCTATATCAACCAGGCTGTCGGACAGTGGGCCTCCAACAGCAACAGCCTCGTTAACCGGACAAGCACCAGACGAGTCTGGCCCGAGGTTGTGCTCCAAGAGTACCAGAGTTCTCGAGAGGGAACGATGAGCCCTCGGTATCCCTGAGAGTGGATACCTCAAATCAGTGACCGTGGAAGTTGGAGTCTGATGGAGAGTGCGTGATGACTCACCTGCTGAAGGACCTAGCCGTTAAAATGGCACGGCGTTCGAGTCTTCTCCCGATATTCAACCGCCAGAGCACTAGTAGCCGTGCTCTCTCTCGAGAGAGAGGCAAGGTCTCCGAGGATCGTGTGGTTGCGGCCTGAGACTACCTCGTTGGTCGTTGTGATTCTTCGTGGCACTCGTACGGGTGAGAGGGTTGTGATCACTGTAGATGGCAACCACACAAGATGACTGCCCCCCCCCCCCAAAAAAAATCAAATGTTCCAGCACAAGTATCAGGGCTAACTAGGACTTCCTTTTCAATGGTGGAGCAGGCCCATCGATGGGTCCAATACTTGGCTCACTAATATGCTATAGGCTGCAAACACTGCCCTTCAGATGCTTGTAGTAACGCTGCCCCGATCGCCGACTCTCGGACGTCGATCTGGAACGCAGAATGTTTTGAAAAATCGGGAGACGGAGGAATGAGTACGGTTTGTAATGCGTGTTTTCGTTGCATTTCTGGAATTAGAAAAGCCGTATGATAGGGTGGATAGGGGAGCAATGTTACAAGCATATGGAATAGGTGGCAAGTTACAGAGTCCTACAGTTTATAGAAGCACACTAAGGCTTAGGGTGTGTACGAGAGGGGTACACTGCTTTCCGGCAAATGCTAGTGTTGGGGAAAGGGGTGGAATTAAATTATGAGAAATTAAATATAAAATGGGAGTTGACACAGTTAGTTACTTTTTGCTGGTGATACTATGCTTTTCAGAGATTCTAAAGTGGCAAAGGTTAATGGACAAGTTTCAAAGTGAACATAGATAAAGATAGGTTTATGAAACAAGAGGTGAACCACAGAACTGAACAAAAAAAAGGTATTCGTGCACTGAGGTATCTGTGGAGACAGAGACCACTATGGAGGCAAAGAAAGGAATGTAGTAGAGTATAATAGTACCAGCACTCTTATATAGGTGTAAAACATGGGTTGTAAATGGTGCAGCAAAAAGGAGGCTGAAGGCAGTGGAGATGTTATGTCTAAATAACAAAAAAAGGCACAATACCGTGACTGGAACGATACACAAATAACCCGTGACTTTGTAAATGGTCCAAGTCGGACCGAAACGTCGCCGTAAGCTTCTCTCTCTCTAAAGTACAAAGTTGAAGGTGAACAGATAAGAGTAAGGTGATGAGGGTATCAAATGATTTACACGAGGAAAAAAATGGATATCACATTGGAGGGGGTATGGAAATGGATATGTTCAGATATTTGGGAATTGATTTGTCAACAGATGGGTTTATGAACAACAAGGTTAACCCAACAATTGATGAAGGAAAAAACTTGAGTGGTGCATTGAGGTGCCTGGAAACAAAAAACATTATCCATGGAGGCAAAGAGGGAAATGTACTAGACTACAGTGGTACTAACACTCATATGGGTGAGGGAATGCTGCAGCCAAGAGAAGGCTGGATGCAGTGGACATGTCATGTTTAAGGGCAATGTGTGGTGTATCTATTATAAAGAGAATTTGTCATATTAGTCAGAGGGATGGGGGGGGTTATTGAGGTGATTTGCTCATTTAGAGAGGATGGAGCAAAATAGAATAACTTGGAGGGTGCACAAATCTGTAGGGGGAAGGATGGGTAGTGGTCATTCTAGGAAAGGGCGAAGGGGGAGAGGGAGGGAGGGAGGTAGACAGATTGTGTGTGCAATGGGAATACAGCAAAAGTGTTCAAGATAAATGGTTTTTGAGACCTGACAAGCTGTTGGAATGTGAGCAGTATAATATTTTGCAAAGGCGTTTAGGACGACCAGTTAACCGGACATAAAGGAACGGTTTGGAATATTTGTTGTTTGGAGTGTGACATCTGCAAAGACAGTGATTATGTGTGAATGATGGCAATGAAAACTTTTAATGATGAATTTGTTTCTTTTCTGGATTTTTTTCATAATTCTGGGATGTAATTGATTAGGCAGAGAGCTCCATCAAGCCTAGCATCTCTATACAGGTATGTACTAGTTTTGATGCTCATTAATACAGACTCGTAAGAGGAAAAAAACATCGTCTGAGCTCGAATCAAAATGTGCCAAAATTACGGTGGTCCCTCGTTTTTCATAATTAATCCGTTCCGGAGTGTGTGACTATTGTCGAAACTGATGATTTGCAAAACCATTTTTCCCACGAGAAATAATATAAACACAATTAATCCGTTCCAAACACCCAGAAGTATAGACAAAAAATGTTTCTGTTTACCTTAAAGATACATTTGCATGCACAAAACAATAAACATTCAACATGACAGTTACCTTCATTGAAGACTGCTGCTGTTGTTGATGGATGCAAGACACGGAGAAAGAAGAGAAGTTATTGTTTGGAAAGGGAAGGGGGTCCATAAGGACTCTAGGTACCAAGTCCTTATCAGGGGTCACTTCTCTAGCTTATAGATTTACATGCAGAAAAGAATGACAAATAAATTTAAAGCACTAATAAAATGGATAAATGAACATTTAACATCACACTTACCTTTATTCAAGACTTGTTGGTGTATGGCAGAGGGACACGAGGCGACTTAACTGTTGGAGAACGACACCGATATCAACTCGACAGCTTATTTATCTATCGCAATTCAACTAATACGACATAAGAAACAATATTAATAACATGAAAATATAGAATATACCCTAAAATGAACAAGTCATTAGGTATGTCACAACTGGTGTTGGGCATATAAGGACCACCGAGAGCATAAGCCGTACATAATGGTGGTGAAGGCTGCAACTGAGGCGGCACTGTTTTCTGTAGCCCTATACAATTCCAACAGTATTGGAGGAGTTAGTAAAATTGCTGAATCATTGAAGAAGGCACCCTCTACCACTATCACAACTGCTACCACCATCACTACCGCCCTCTACCACGATCACAACTGCTACCGCCACCACTTTCATATTTTTCTACAGACTTTTTCTTGAATTGTATTGTGTTTCTCGCATTCTTTACCAGACGGCTGGCACTAGAAGCTTTCTTTGGAGCCGTGGTACCTTATTTAGCAGTTGCAACCACTAAAACGAATGGAATATTATGAAATGTATTGTATAAACAGGCGAGATCATCCTCCCTCACTCGTAAGTAATGGCACACCGGCTGGGAATGGAGCGTGGGGCTGCTCGAGGCGTGCGTGCGTGTCTGGGACAAATGACCGCTTGCAAGTCGGACGACGATTTGCGAGTCGACGTTCCGACGAAAAACGTCTTACGAGTTTTGAAAATTACAACTTCTGGTGCTTACGAAAAACGAGGGACCACTGTGTATGATTTTTATATTCTTAATCAGTATCAATAATAGTGCCTGTATAGTGATTTTAAATATATTTTTTAAAATCCAGCCAAGTATGGCTAAAAATGCTAAACTACAAGTCTGGCGATTTTTGGGTGCCAAATATTTTTTTTTTCCTCTAAAAATGAAAAGTAGGTTCAATGGAACTTTGGCTAATCAATTATTTATCTTAATGAGCTGAACAGAAAAATCATATTACATATAAGAAAAGCAAGCTGGTGAAGAATACTGTACGCTGGGGCTGTGGTTGGAGAATACTCCAGGGTAGGGCTGTGGTTGGAGCATATTGCAGGGTGGTGCTGTGGTTGGAGAATACTGCAGGGTGGGGCTGTGGTTGGAGAATACTGCAGGGTGGGGCTGTGGTTGGAGAATACTCCAGGGTAGGGCTGTGGTTGGAGCATATTGCAGGGTGGTGCTGTGGTTGGAGAATACTGCAGGGTGGGGCTGTGGTTGGAGAATACTGCAGGGTGGGGCTGTGGTTGGAGCATATTGCAGGGTGGTGCTGTGGTTGGAACATATTGCAGGGTGGTGCTGTGGTTGGAGAATACTGCAGGGTGGGGCTGTGGTTGGAGCATATTGCAGGGTGGTGCTATGGTTGGAGAATACTGCAGGGTGGGGCTGTGGTTGGAGCATATTGCAGGGTAGGGCTGTGGTTGGAGAATACTGCAGGATAGGGCTGCAGTAGGTGGATAATACAAAATTATTATAATACAAAATCACACATTCTAACCTTTGCAAGAAATAAAAATTTGTATTTAAGAAAAGCTTTCACTGTGTTCACACTCCAGTAACTGATGGAAGCCAGGAGACAATAAACTGGACAACAATACAGTAAATGCTCAGTATCAACTTTCAAAAACACCAAACAAAATCTACTGCATAAATTGTATTTCTCACTTATACTGTATATACAATGAGCAACTTTTAAATGTTGATGAAGAGATGGAGGCAATAATTTCACGCAATGGCCAGGGACGTATAACATCTCTCACCAGTCGAGAATAGCAGCACGTGAGTGTGGGGGAGGTGCACGAGGCATTACGTTCAATGAAACGGGGTAAAGCAGCTCGAACCGACGGGATCGCGACAGAAATGTTAAAAGTGGAAGCGGTGGGATGGGGGGGTTGTACGTATGGCTGGTGGGTCTAATGCACATTCACAAATGTGCCGATATTATTTCGGTAGGCCTGCTGCAGTGTTCCTTCTTTCTTATGTTCTTGTCCTTTCTGAACCTAAATTTTTTTTCCAACTTGAAACCATTGCTGAGAGTCATGTCTTGGTTAGATATTTTTAGCATGTTGTTTGCATCCCCTATATCTGTTCCTGTTTTCCATTTAAGCACCTCCATCATATGGTGTGCCCCCCACCCCCTTAATTCTATGCCTTTCTAGATTGCAGATTTGGGGCCCTCTGTCTATCTTCTAGCCTTGCATGGGCCAGCAGGCCAACTAGTGCTTCTTTCTTTTGATCAATGACATGTTTTAATCTGTGTATCAGTTTGGATAATTTTGATCTAATTTCCCATTTTGGAACACTAGTATGTAGTTTGAGCAGCTAGAACTAGGCTCTGAGAAATATCAGAAACCATCACCAGCTACCAAGTCAGGTCATTCCAGTTCAACCCACCCAGGTAATTTGTCCTGTGAAATCTTCCAAGTGGAAGTTAGGGTCTGACTTGATTGTGGTTATTAGGGTAATTCAATGATGTCTTGAAAGAGTGATTCGAAATTGCTTTCCCCCATGTTCATAATTAAAAACACGATATTTAGAGATTCCTCGTTGGCAAGAACCAAGTCAAGCAGGTTATTTCCTCTAGTAGGTTCTGTCACTGTTTTAAAAAAGAAATTCTGACTTGTATAAAGTAGAGATTCCTGTCAAGTTGCTCTAATCAATTTTTGGTTAAATTTTCCCATTAATGCCATATTTTCAAATCTAGAAGCCTTACGAATTTCATCCCATGCCGGTTTACTGCACGTCCTATCGAGGTCTGGAGGTCTGTAAGTTACGCCCGAGTTGAGTTTTTTTCCACTACTTCTTGCCCACATCAAGGATGGAGGATGTCTAGGATATTTTTAATCTTATTCTGTGCCTCTACATTCCTCAAATACCTCAGATAAGAAAGTAGATTCGTAAGGCAGGAAAGCCTCGTTGTAAAATTGTCCAGAGATTCGTCGATATCTTTGAAGGTGGCCTCTAATTGCTTGGGCAATTTATTCCATCCATTTTCAAAACAATGCTTTAGCAAATAGGTAGCTATCTTTAAATTATAGACCAATCTCCCTTGTAAACAGGTATCACATTTGCAAATGTTGTAAGGGGAATTTAGCAAAACTTGGTCTTTTCAACATATCACTGTGAACTGGTCTGGTAACAGTCGCGGATGAATGGAACAGAATCCCGAGTACAGTTAGGGGCTAAAATGTGTAGTTTTAAAAATAGGTTTGATAAATGCACGATTGGGTGTGAGTTGGACCCGATTAGCTTGTGCTGCTATGTCAGTCGCCGTGTTCGAGTGAATGTGACCCGACCCAACTAGGTCGGGTGCGTTGGCTTAAGCCGGTAGGAGACTTGGACCTGCCTCGCATGGGCCAGTAGGCCTGTTGCAGTGTTCCTTCTTTCTTATGCTCTTAAAATGGCAAATATGATGCAAATTTATAAAGCTGGAGATAGGTCAACTTTGAATTAAGAAAATTTCTTTGTGGGGCAAATGGTTTTTTTCCAGTGTTGTGGATATAGAAAAGTTGTGAATTGTTTAATGGTTTGACTAGATTATTATACATTGGCTAATTAATTTGAAATTAAAATCTACCCATTGTATTTGAAGTAATTCCTGGTTGCTCTTGAAAGTGTCGTGATTCTTTTAATTCAATTCAAGTTAGGTTCTGTTCCAAAATTACAAAGTATCTCTTATGGAACCAGAATGATATTAAAAGTGAAGCTTGACTTAAGGATGACAGGTGATAATAACCTCGCAAAACTGAAATTATGCTGTTTTATACTAAATCTAAAAGTCTTTGTACGTAACTTATTTAAAGCATTTCTTTGGCAGGTTTTGCAGGACAGTAGATAGATAGATGTGTTAGGTCTCAAGTCAGTCAGTCAGTCAGTCAGTCAGTCAGTCAGTCAGCCAGCCAGCCAGCCAGCCAGCCAGCCAGCCAGCCAGCCAGCCAGCCAGCCAGCCAGCCAGCCAGCCACCAGCCAGTCAGCCAGCCAGTCAACCAGCCAGCCAGCCAGTCAGCCAGCCAGTCAGCCAGCCAGTCAGCCAGCCAGTCAGCCAGCCAGTCAGCCAGCCAGCCAGTCAGCCAGCCAGCCAGCCAGCCAGCCAGCCAGCCACCAGCCAGTCAGCCAGCCAGTCAACCAGCCAGCCAGCCAGCCAGTCAGCCAGCCAGTCAGCCAGCCAGTCAGCCAGCCAGTCAGCCAGCCAGTCAGCCAACCAGCCAGCCAGCCAGCCAGCCACCAGCCAGTCAGCCAGCCAGTCAGCCAGCCAGCCAGTCAACCAGCCAGCCAGCCAGTCAGCCAGCCAGTCAGCCAGCCAGTCAGCCAGCCAGTCAGCCAGCCAGTCTTAAAGATAAAAGGTAAGTTATGTGGTATATAAGAACATAAAGAAGGAACACTGTAGTAGCCCTACTGGCCCATGGTATATAGGTTTAATTAACTATTCTTTATTGGCTCTACTGACTAGACTGATTCAGAGCATTATATTGGAACACATTAACAGGCCCATTGACTTATGCTAGACAGGTTCAGCTCTAAACCCTTAAGGGTTTAGAGCTTCATTATTAGTATAGCCTTTTTTTGAATGTTGCTTGGTTCTGGCCTGTTGCCTAATGGACATAGCTCAACTAAGTTATGCTGATTGCATAGAGATTATGAGGTTAAACTTGCAAGAGAATCAAAGACTAACCCAAAAGGATTCTTTCAGGTATACAGAAGTAAGATCAGGGACAAGATAGGCTCACTCAAAAGTTACTCGGGTCAGTTCACGGACGGCGACAAGGAAATGTGTAGAATTTTTAACACGTACTTCTTCTCGGTTTTTACATGGGAAGATACTAGCGATATTCCAGAAATAATAAATTATGTAGAACAGGATGATGATAAATTATGCATGATTAGGGTCACAAGTGACATGGTCCTTAGGCAAATAGGTAAATTAAAACCTAACAAATCCCCAGGCCCTGATGAACTCTATGCAAGGGTTCTAAAGCAATGTAAAGAGGAGCTTACCAAACCTCTGGCTAATCTTTTCAACATATCACTACAGACTGCCATGCTGCCAGATAAGTGGAAAATGGCAAATGTGATGCCTATTTTCAAAGCAGGTGACAGGTCCTTAGCTTCAAACTATAGAACAATATGACTAACCTCTATAGTGGGAAAATTTATGGAATCAATAATTGCCGAGGCACTTCGTAGCCACCTTGAAAAGCATAAATTAATCGAGGAATCTCAGCACGGTTTTACAAAGGGGCGTTCCTGCCTTACGAATTTATTAACTTTTTTCGCCGAGGTGTTTGAGGAGGTACATCATGGTAATGAATGTGATATTGTGTATAAGTCAGCAAGTAAGGCTTTTGACAGGATCCCACATCAGAGACTACTGAGGAAAATTAAGGCGCATGGAACAGGAGGAGAAATTTTTTCCTGGATAGAGGCACGGTTGACAAATAGGCAGCAGAGGAGAGTTTGCATAAATGGGGAGAAATCAGAGTGGGGAAGCGTCACGAGCGGTGTTCCACGGGGGTCAGTGTTGGGCCCCCTGTTGTTCGCAATCTACATAAATGACACCGACGAGGGCATGCAGAGCGACGTAAGCAAGTCTGCCGACGACGCCAAAATAGGCTGTCGAATTCGTTCCGATGAGGACACTAGAGCGCTCCGAGATTTGAAGAGACTGATGCAGTGGTCGGATGAGTGGCAGATGCAGTTTAATATAAATGAATGCAAAGTTCTAAATGTTGGACAGGAAAATAACCATGCCACACAAACTAAACAATGTAGATCTTAATGTTACGGGTTGCGAAAAAGATTTACGAGTTCTGGTTAGCGGTAATCCGAAACCGAGACAACAGTGCATAAGTGTTTGCAATAAAGCTAACAAAATCCTTGGCTTCATATTGAGAAGCGTAAATAATACGAGTCCTCGGGTTGTTCTTCAACTCTATATATCCTTGGTTAGGCTTCATTTAGATTATGCTGCACAGTTTTGGTCACCGCATTACAGAATGCTTAAATTCCACTCGCACGACAGGAAAAGAGACTTAATTATTGCATCTATTAAAGAAAGAGGTATGCATAAACGAGTGTCTCGCCAAAAAACGTCAGAACCTCCTGTATAGAGTCGGAAAACTTGAGCGGGAGAATAATGACACAATACATCAACGCTTCACATGGGATGGGAAAATTCTACTTGGGAAAACAAATGTAGGCCAACTGTACACAATCACGGACGAGAACGATCTATCGCGATTTCTCGGGGTTGGACAGTGTCCGACCTAAAAGCCTACGTGTAGTGTATGTTTTGCTCCATTATTGTACAAATTTCACAGTACAATCTCTTAGTAATAATCAAAAAATCAACTACCTCGGTAATGTGATTTTACTAGTAAGCATAAATCACCTTATATTACATAATTTTCTTAATTACTACTATTGATTGCTTAAATATTTGCTTCA